AAATATGCTAAAAATATGCTAATATCACACCCACGTTTCATCAGAGTGCTTACTGAAATTAGCATTCAGGTCAAAGCACCACCTGCTCTGTGATCACGGCCACACACCCACCTTTATTCTCTCTCATTTAGCTCTGTATTTCTCATGCCTGTCCTTAAATCGCTGCCTCCTTTAATTCCTTTGTGCTGCTCAATGGTGATAAAGTCCAGACCTCCATTAGTGAATCATGCTGAAGACTGGTTGTTTATTAAGTGTGACTCAATTTGGAGCAGCTGAACTGGCGCTGTGGCAGTAACACCACCTGGTCTATGTGCGTCTGTGTTGTGAAATTAAAAAGGGGGGGGTAAAAAAAGCTGGCAAGCTGGAGCACAAGCAAGTAGCAAAAAGATGCACCGAAGCTGCAGCGATATCAGATCTGCCCTTCTGCCTGAAAAACAGGAATAGTTGTCAAAATGTTGTGACAACCTGTTTCCTGCAGCCTCTCGCTCTTTTGATCTGGTGGTTCTCTGCAAACACTGGTTGCGGCTTTTTCGGTACCTCCCATTGTGGCACAGCTTAACCTGGCAGCTGAACTTTCCATCAAATCAGTTTAGCTTTATTGTTTGGATCTTCTGCACCGCTGAGAGTAAAGAAAACAGACATCAATCACTCTGTTTGTCAGCGGGTTATTGGCAAAGTGAGCACGAGTGCTCGAACACATGGGGAGACAGCTGCTAGCATGACATTTCCTCCAAGGGAATGTCCCTAACCTTGTCTTTTTTCCCTTCCTCGTGTCTGTATGTGCATTCATATCCTTACATATTTTACATATTGAAGGAGTGACTCAGCTAAAAAGGCTCCTGCAGAATTTATGAGGCTGCTGTGCTTTGCTCCCCTTTATGCTCGTCATAAGCATTTTCCACATCTATTTTTACTCCTTTAGCGTATCGATTCTTTGGAAAGCACGAGTCCAGAAGAAGGGGAAATGAGTCAAAGCATGTGTGCCCTCCTCCTCCAGTGTTCATTATTGATGACAGTGAGGTCAGTAAATAAGGCGGAGATGCAAGCTGGAGTGTTGGGTTATTTTAGAGCTGTAAAAAAATGAACTGAAGAGCATTTTTCATTTAATCCCCGTGGCTGCAGTGATGGACAAGCACTTAAGCAGGCTGCTGGTTCTGCCAGAATCACATCTACTTGCAGGAGGAAGGTAATAGGGAGCAGGGTGTCAAAATGCATTACGGCGAGCAGACAGATGGGCTCTGAGATCCGCCTCGGATTTGTGACCCAGCCGGGTATTGACCAGATAACAAAATAGGGACAGAAAGAAAAAGTCAGAAGTTGGAGCAGACTGACAGAAATGAAGTGATTTAAGCAGATGGCTGACAGGTGTGAATACCACACTGGTGCAGCAATCTTGTTTTGTGGTGATGGATTTGCTGTTAAATGAAGATTGACATCTTACTGATACTGAGTCTCTGGGCAGAAGGCATGTGACCTGAGCCCCAGACAGAGCTGAGCAAATTTAGCTAAATCGGCTCTCTGTGTGATCGCGCTGTTGGCACATAAGCATCACGCCATCAACACATATTCCTCCATATGAAAACAAACTTGTCTGACCTTTTCCGATTCTGGTTGTAGCTGTAAACATGTTAGTGGGCGTTAACTCGGCCCAGATGTTGGAACCAAGGCAGAAAGTGGCATATGTTGGGATGGTAGCACAGGGCTGGGTGGAAACGGGGCCGTGACAGCCAGTCATTGTGCTTCGGTATTACACTGTCATTGTGTCAGTGTTGGGAGCAGACCCACGACAGATGCTCGACAGATAATAGAAGCGTTATCTCTGGATGTTCACTCAGTGACACACTGTTGCATGTAAATATGAACAAGGATTGCTTCAAAGAGAGAATCTCAGGTGAGCTAAATGTTATTAAGATCTGTGGAAAAGGCTTTGTCAGTGTGTGTCTGTGGAAAAGAAGGAGCGAGATTGCGATTTTGCTTATGAAACAAGAAAGCATATCCTTGGAGTAGAAATCTGTCTGTATGAGCGTATAATGAGACAGACATATTTCTCATTGAACCTGTAAAGCTTCTGCTGTCGGTGTAATGTAAAAGATTGCACACCTGCAGTTTTCATCAGATGCCATTTCTCCACAGCGGGGGTTTCATTATAGGATTCTCACCAGGCGGTGAAAATATTAGAAGGTGCATACAAATAATACCTATATCAAGTGTGTTACAGGCTTTGATGCCATAAAAAATACCTGTCACATGACCTGAATTCTAAAGTCAGCAACTCTGTTAACTCTGTTTGTGTTTGTAAGCACTCTACTCTGGACATGGCGATAGTTGTTTGCTCAAATATCTTTTCACAGATACTCATGGTTGAAGATGAATAATAACGACATTGGTGATCTCTATTCCTCATTAGCAGGTAAACATACAAATAACCATTGGTTGGTTGGTGGCCATGAATCTTCATAGATATTTATCTCCCACTTAAAGTCATTTTAATTTGTGTAATTAGAACAGTTAAACTCAGACTTAGGGTCTTTATGTAATAAGTAAACAGGGTAAGACGCCTATAAACACCTATTAAGCAGAAGAGAATGGACGGACAGGCTTGATGTTCTACTCGATCGATTCCTGACTTGTCAAAGAAGTCGACTGTGCCGGTGTTGTGCCAAAAAGTGATTGCCGGTATTTGCCAAAAACTGATTGCTCGTATTTAAACTGCTATAAGTAACTTGTTGGGCTATAATATGTGAAATATATGTCAAATGCATCCCTCATGGATGACATAAAGTCAACTTGAGCCACAAACAACATTCGTGTAACAAGGTAGAAGCCGCAATCAGTTTTTGGCAGTGACTTTTATATAACCTTTATTTATGCAGTTAAAAAAATCTCATTAACATTAAAAATGTCTTTTGTAAGAGTAAGTTGGCCAAGAGGACAGCAGACATGGCAGCAAATATTACAATATTTCTGTAAAAATATTTTAAGTGGGGATAAAGGACCGGATTGGTTATAATCAGAATCAGAATCAGAATCAGAATACTTTATTGATCCCTGTGGGAAATTATTTTTTGTTACAGTGCTCCATTTTAAACCAACATTAAGACAAGACAGACAATACACTAACTAAGAATAGTACAATATATACATATATATACATACATACATACATAAGTCACTCATAAATAAATAGTTGGAAAAGAAACATGTGTAGTTGTAGCAGCAAACAGTGTGTTAAGTGGATGCGTTGTACAGGGAGATGGCCACAGGCTAATGTAAGTACAATAGCAGAGAGTTGTAAAGATACTTGAAAAACAGATATTGTTTTAATTCTCTATATAACCCCTTTGTAAACCCTGTTCACCGAAGTCTATTTATGAACATAGGTAAAGATATTACACATAAAAAATACACAGAAACATTGGAAATCAGTTTTTGGCAGACAATCACTTTTTGGCACAACACCGGCTCAGGTGTGGATATGAAAAGTGGAGGTCAGTAGTTTTTTACTTTTAAACAAGTTTTTGACAGATTTCTAAAATATTTCTGTCTTCTTGTTTTTTGACAGAAGGTCTAATAATTTTTTAAGCACTATACTTATGTTAGTCCAGTCTCAAAACACAGTTAGCATTATTATTGCAACCTTTCAGGGAAATCTCAAGTCAGCAGTAATGTGTAGCCGTGTGCACAGCTGTAGTCTGTGTTTGTGTGTCGACTGTAATTGCTTGATTCAGCCATTCTGTACGTATGCAGATTTCCATTTTATGCTACAAGCTTCACGTGCCCCATCTGCTTAATGCGCCAGTTCATCATCTTGTCTAATCGAGGGTCTCCTTGACCGAAGCGATTCATAACCAGCTAACGGTGAATTTTGCTCGCTAATGGAATTTCCCACTTGTAAACAAATCGGTGAAATTGCCTTTCCGGCATGTTTTGACAATTAGATTACAGCGACTTCGTTGGATCTTATGGGATTATACACTTATGAATACTTATGATGTAAAATTGTAAGAAAAGGAGTTTGACAGTCCTAAAGTCGCACACTCTTTTGTGTTATTTGTGCTTAAATGTTTGCCATTCATTTTGGAAGAAAATTTAAATTTGAGTAAAGAATTATTTATTTCAAATTAATAATCAAGTATTACAATTTCACTAACGACTCTTTGTTCTATTTAGATCATATTTGGTAGGAAGTTGTCTTTATGTTATTAGTGTCATTGATCCAAATGTGTGTTTTTATTTATCTAATTATTTTATGGAACTAAAAATACTGCAGTTTTTCTGAATTTCTATCTACAAGTGAATATTTGGGGAACTCACGCCTCCGCAGAGCAGCTTTTGCTTCCTTAGAGCATCATCACACCCGTTTTGTTTCACCAGATTGTCTGAAAACAAACACATTTCAGTTTGTCTGAGACACTGTTGCGCTACATTGTTTGAGAATGTTATTTACAGAGGTCAGAAGCCTTTTTCACGATTTCCATAATGTCACCAAGCAGTTGGGGTCTAACTCAGATTCCCAGCAGAAACAAGGCTGCAGATCTGTCTAATCACCAGATGCCTGCTCTCTAATGCATAATGCATCAGGCTGTTATTACAAGTCTGCAGGGAAAACACAGCAGTGATTTACATTAATAATTCATCAAACCCCTGTGACATCAAAGTCTTAATGGAGGAGACCCTGCATTAAGATGCGCGTGTGTGTGTGTGTGTGATCATTAATGAAGTGGACCCTGGTGGCCTATGCTTGGCCTTTATTAGTGTGTCAGGTGGAGAGGTGGTAATAATGTGTTAAGTTAGTTTAAGATCAGAGAACAGACACTAAAACCAGGCTGGCGAACAGTCTTCATAGTCAAAGATGCTGAAAGTATAAAAGGATAAAAGTGAGTTCAGGGTTTGAAAGTTGTAGCCGCCTGTACTGATAATGTGACATTATCTGAAAAACCACTGTTTACTTTTCTCATTAGTTTTCTGCGTTTTCTAACGTGAGCTCACTGCGTCCTCAGATGACAGTGCGTCAGCGGCCAGCAGTATGGAGGTGACCGACCGCATCGCCTCCCTGGAGCAGAGGGTCCAGATGCAGGAGGATGAGATTCAGCTGCTCAAGTCCGCTCTAGCTGACGTGGTCCGCAGACTCAATGTGTCTGAAGAGCAGCAGGCCATGGGTGCACGCAGAGGACCCACCAAAGGTAACATACAGTCCAGCACAAAGCCTAGGGGCTTGCTATTATAGTATATGCATCACACACAGACTGGCTTGCACATGTGGTTTTTCAGGACTCTTGGGTCTGTTTTTCCACTCTGACCTGTCGATGCTGATCTTCAAATCCCGCTAGTTTTCTTTCATCTGACTCATCGCTCTCCTCTCCTTCCTGTCCCATCTTCTCTTGGACTGTGTTGTCTTGTTGAATGCTTTTGCCTTACATGTATAGACCCCGCTATGATGAGAAAATCTCCCTCAGCAGACAGCAATGTTGGGAAGCCAGGTAGGCTCACTGTGTAGCCTGACTGCACTAACCAGACCTGGTATTGTGTCACTGCCTGCCCTGCTACTATTATCCTAAATATATAGTATTTCACCAGGAAATGCACAGTTGCATTCAATACGGCTCACTGCACTGTGATCCGAGTTTGAAGACAGATCTTTGTGGGAATTTGTGTCAGCACAAAAACTGTTTTATGAGGTTTTGTTTGATAAGAGCCAGGCTAGCGTTCTCCTTTGTTTCCTGTCTTTCTGGTAAGCTCACTAGCTGCTGGCTGTAGCTTCCCACTGAGCAGAGGCTGTATTGATTTTCACAACTCTCTCTCTGGAATGAAAAGGAATAAGAAAGCATCCCAACCTATTCGGCTGAGGTGTAGAGTTAAATCAACACCTCCCTGACACAGGCTCAGTTTATTTTCCAAAGTCCAGAATGTGATTCACCTTCACGAATGGTTTTATCATAAGTCAAAGGCACAGTTGCTAAACCTTAAAATGCCTCACTCTGATGATCTCTCCACCTAGTGTCACACAGCTGCATGCTCTTCTCATCTGTGCTGAAAACATTGCATAAACTTTAAAAAAGCGAGCCCCAGAGAGTGATAAAAGGTAGACTTTTTTCACATGTTTTTTGCATTTTTATTGCTTAACATGCATCGATTTTTCAGTGGAGATGTGTAAACTTTGGTCATGAAATCGTGCTGTCACTCCTGAGGCTGATAAAGGCTGCATGGGAAATCAGCTGCACTTCATGTGTTTCAAGTCCTCACATGTGCTTTAGAGTAATGAAGCAAAAGCAGATTAGGATTCTTAGCTGCTGACAGCTCCATTCTCAGGAGTGAGTCTGGACAGATGGAGTTTCAGTTTGATTGGGGAAGTGGAGGATGACTCGGACTCATTGTTCCCCACCAGCAGTCTGCTTTCCCTCGACTGAAGCACAGTGATCTGATTCAGAAAGTTTAACCCAGTCGGGCTGACTGCATGTGGACAATCGTGTACACAGAGGAGCACACGCATTTGTCTTCTTTAACATGCTAACAAAATTACAAACCTCGTTTTGCCCCTGCTGCGTAATTACTACATGAAAGATAACAGAGGGAGTGTGTGCACAGGCCTGAGTATCAATGTGTGTCTGGATGAAGCAGTGTCTATTAAATATTTATCACTGCAGATAAAGCTGCAGCTTGGATCTGTTAGTCTATGCTGCCTGAATGAATTGTGTGTGTGCGTGCGTGTGTGTCGGTGGGTGGGTGTGTGTGTCAGTTTTTCTGATACCACTCCATTTTCTACAAACTGTATTCCATCTCAATGAGAAACCTTTAAAACAATTACATTTAAATTTAGTTTACTTGTTTATATATAATCACTTAATCTTCTCCCTCTTTTTTAACCTGAAGATATAAAACACTGTGCAGTTATTTCCCATCTCTGAACCCTCACATTGGAATTATATTTACATTTGGGAAACAAAACCCTGAAAGTCAAACTACGCTCACTGGCCAGTTCATTAGTTACCCCTTGCTAGTACCGGGTTGGAGCACATTTTGTCTTCAAAGCTGCCTTAATGGTATGAATCCAACAATTCCATATTGATTTGGAATCTGCTGCACATCCGTAATTGGAATCTCCCCGTCCACCACATCCCAAAGGAGGACCCTAACATCCTATCCAAATATCACAGCGGAATAGGCAACGCTTTTTCAGTAATCTTTTGCCCAGTGTTGGTGAGCCTGAGTGAACTGTAGCCTCAGTTTCTTATTCTTCACTAACAAGATTGGTAACTGGTGTGGTCTTCTGCTACTGTAGCCCATCTGCTTCAAGGTTGTGTGTTCAGGGATGTTTCCTTCTTCATGCCTTTGTTGAGTTACTGTTGCATTCCTATCAGCTTGAAGCAGTCTGACCGTTCTTCTCTGACCTCAGGCATCAATGAGGCATTTTCACCCAGGAGCCTGAAGCTCATTGGACACTTTCTATTTTTCAGGCCATTCTCTGTAACACTAAAGGTGGTTGCGTGGCATAATCGCAGCAGATGAGCAGTTTCTCAAACCGACCAATGAGTCAAGGTCATGCATTGAGCTACTGCCAAGTGATTGGCTGGTTAGATATTTGTGTTAACAAGCAGTTGAGCAAGTGTATCTAATGAAATGACCAGTGAGTATATACTGTGTATATTAAATGACACAAACGTGTCTATAAACCTATACAGTAGGCCAGTGGCAACCCTGGGGGCATTTTTGGGAAAACCAGCACTACTGTACATTTCATTTATCCGTGTTTCTACAAAAACATGAAGAAATATTTCAATAAATCCATGACATGGCAGCGCATGGTTTGACTCGGCATGGCATGTGTCCAGGACTTATCAATCCTCAGCTCCTTTTGCCCCAGCAGGAAGCCCCCCCACCCCCACCCTCCCCAAACCCATGGTCACTCTAAGAAAAAAGTAATTTTTACATGTTGAGAGTTCAGCTAAAAGCAAAGTAAACTATCTTCAAATCAAGAATTCTGAGTTTAATTGTTTGTTGACTCCAAATTCAATGAATGTGTAGACAAATAACCGAGGTGGCAGTACATACAGCGTTATTTTAAATACACTACAGGTGCTGACTCTGATACTGGTTCTTTCTGAACGCGTCATGTCGTCCTCTTTCTTCCAGCCAGGCCAATGATCGCCACCCTGCCGTTACGGCCCACAGTAAACAACGGGACCGTCCTACCAAAGAAAGGCAGCGGGACTCTGCCATCCCCATCTGGATCTGGATCCAGGAAGGACACCAGCGTGCCAGCCAACAAGACGTAAGGAAACCCAGTATGACTGTATTTGAGCATTTTTTTCCTCTGCTCTTCTTTGTCTGTTCATTATAATCGATTTTAAGGAGGCTATCGGCATTTCTGGAAACCTTTTGCTTCCTTAGAGCAACTTGAAGGTGTGGACTGTCAGAGTCAGCAGATTTTGTCTTGTTTTTCTACAAAATCCCAAGCGTCATTAAAACCACTGGAATGATTTATTGTTCTTCACCCCAGAAGTTTTATGTGTCTCGACATTTCTTCCCTCATGTCTGCCTGTGCCACGCCAGGTCATTTCAACCATAAATCGTCACATTTCTGGCTTTTTATCATCCACACACATTGACATTTAACAGCCCTGATAAAGGGAGACGAAGCATTTTCATCATCTGCTGCTCTGTGTTCTTTGTGCGTCCGTGCGTTTACAGGTGAATATGGAGTGCAGGTTATCAATCTTGCCTGCCAGCATAACAATCGCCTTTCCCCATTCTCTGATGACATTAACTAAATCAGATGAAGCTTGGCACACAGCAGGGGCCTGCTCCAGTCCGCGCAAATGTTAACTCTGCTTCTCCGCCTCTCTTTTAGAAGTATTAAACTCAGGAGCTCAAGCTTTGACACTGAAAATATCTTTTTTTAAATGTATATTTCATTATATATATATCCAACCCTGAATAGTCATAGTTTTAGGGTTGTCTAGTTCCAGGCTTGGCATCGTGACATGAAACAGCACTTTCTTAGTTGAAGGATGATGAGTGGCACTGGAGACTAATGATTAGCCCAACTGTTTTTACTTGTTATGTTGGCATGGCTGTGAATCAGTGTTATGGGTCTCTTGCTACTTGTTAGGGAAAATCAAATCCATCTTCCCTGTGGAGGCAACGTCAGGCTAAAGATGGAAATAGAGTGAACGCCGATAACACAATAGCAGCAAATCTTATACCCCTTAAAGTCTTTAGTTTTTAGTTGTATTCCAAGATAGAGTTATTTCTCATCAGATATCTCTTCCGTGTAGTCTCCTGTATTGTGCTGGGTCCTTCCCATCTTTTTCCTGTCTTCATTGTCTGTCTCTGATTATATGTCGTTTCCCACTGTGATGCATTCTGTTTATGTCTCATTCACCTATGTTGTTATGTCCTGCCACTCTGTCCAGTTTCTCCTCCCTGTCTCGTTCCTCCAGAATTCTCTATCTGCCCCTCAGGTGAGACTATCACCACGTTACAGTATGCTGTAGATTTATACAGCGCTTAACTGATCTAACACATGCTTAACTCGATCTCCAGTTTTTAAAATTGCTCACTAAATTATATGAATTTTTTTTTTATTCGGTGTGATTAATCATATGTTTTTTAAGTCTTTGGTGCAGTGTGTGTGTTATTTGCTGTGCCTGTGTGGGATTACTTAAACTGCAGACTGATCACAATCCCATCAGCACTGGTGTACACACAACAGCCTTCAAAGCCCTGTGGTCCAATTACTGTGATTCCTCATGGGATAACGCGGCAAACAACGGTGTCTCTCTTTCTCTCACTCTTCTTTCCATCCTGTTCTCTTCTTTAATGAACAAATACACACAGAAGTTATCCCAGAAGGGATAACAGCCACCGGCCAGTTTTAGAATTTGAATAGACTTTCCTCCCATAGGGTGGATTAGGTGACTCGGCCTGCTGGTCATTGGATTGCTGATGGAGCCTTTTTATTGTTGTGAATGGGCAGGCTGCCGGCACCACCAATATGCAGATTTACAGAGGTCTGTGCAGATGCTGTGGTTATTATAATCACAGAGGAGTAAACACAGTAAAACTCTGAGGAAACGGCACTGTGCGGTTTTGTAAAAAGTTGTTTCTTTCTTCTTCCCAACTTTTATTGGACCTGATGTCCTCAACTTTCCTGTTTTGCTGTTAGTGAGGTAGCAGTGTTTGCTAAGCAGGCCCAATGATCAGTGGTTCTTCACACTGGGCTGCAAGGACCCTCTGCAGGTTAACAACCGATAACCATTCTCAAGGTGTAACAAACCTCTACTACTGCTGCACAGTTTGACCTCCTAGTGAATGGAGATGGCGTGAGTAAATGAACATCTCTATTCATGCTACCATTATAAAGGTGTCCCTGGATGATGTCCTTGCCTGAAAGGGGTGCATGGCCCCAAAAAGTTTGAGCTTTAATAATCTTCTAAGAAAGATGCTTCGAGTCCTGAAAGGTGTTCTTAATCTCCTCAGACAACTTTGCTCATACTGCTTACTTGTAATCAGTAATACTAATATTACATAATATTCACACACTCTGATAGGAGCATCTCAGGGTTCAGTATTTTACCTAAGGATACTTCAGCATCCAGGCTGGAGGCTCAAACCACCAACCTTTCAATTAGTGCACAGCCGCTCTACATCCTGAGCCACAGCCAGGAGGTAGAGCGGGGATAAAGCTATTCTAGTACTTAAGTTGTGTAGTAATGCAGCAAAAGCAGCAACAAGCAGGGTTTATTTATGTAATGAATTAATCCAGAATTAAATTAATCTGTATTACTTAGTATTTAGCCGTCTGCCAGCTTTGCCCTATTTGTGAGTGGCCGGTTGTCTCTAGGTGCCAGACGGGGACAAATCTGAGCTGATTAAGGGGGGGAAAATGTATACATCTGGATGAAAACTTTACCAGATGGCATTTTCAGAAAAAGCAGCATCCGGTAAGTTTTGTGACCTATTTCTTGTGACTTTGTCTTCCATCCTTTTAATCACAGCACTGTGAGGAGAGCCAATTCTAATGAACAAATGGGGACACTCAATCGGAAAGATTCAGGTGACTCCAAGGGCAACCGAACCCGAGCCGGATCCACCGGAAGCAACTCCAGCGGCAAAAGGAGTGACAGGTTAGGCAGAACCGACAGTGAATCAGTTTTTCTCCATTCGGCGCCACATGGAAGCTAAGATGTATAACAATGTTTGTGTTTTGCAAACCAGAAACTACAAGGTTTTTCTTATAAGGCTCTTTCAAATTAAAACATACAGTAGCGATGGTTTACCCAAAGTTGGGGTGCTGATTGACAGCTGTCTGTTTACTCATTTACTTTGCAGCAAACAGAGGGACCCAGTGTTCAATGCAGGTAAGAAGCGTCTCCTTTATGGCTGTCTGGCCTTGATGACTATGTGTTTCCCAGCTATGGTCCAACTCATTGAGAGCCATTACATAAAAGATGCTCAGTGGTTCTCTGTGTCAGTCGGAGGTCAATGCATTTTTTTAGAAATCCTGTTAAAATACAGAATTATGTATTCACTTTTTTGTTTATCCCTAAAAGGAAGCAGTGCAAGAGATGCCTTGAACTGTTTTCTGTACCCAGACGACCACTGACGGCTAACACACAATGCTTTGTCTTAGTGTTCATTTTCTCCATTATTTCCTCCCTCACAAGTAACAAGCATCCTACATCCTCATCTTCAAATTGCCATTTGTCTTTTTTTTTTTTTGTAATAAGTTCTTCCTGCTTCTTATGTTAAACTGAACTTTTGGTTGCACTGCTAAACAGTTTGTCATTTATACTCAGTTAAAAAAGAAGATCCTAATATTGTCCAGTGAGCTGATAAACTTCCTCTGCTTTTGTTGAAGAGATTCAAATGCATAAATATATCAATAGCAAGCCTTCAGGGGCTTTTCCAAGTAAATCAGAACTTTACAGGAAACTTTTTAAGGGTTTGTCTTTGAGGCCACAAATAATGATATAAAGTACACTCCTGGGTAAACTGTTATAGCTAATTGCATTGGCATTTGCTATAGTAACTTTCTAGCTAATTAAATTAGCGGCCAGGTGATTTCCATAAAACGATATAAACGTTTTTAATAGCGGAAGGAGTGCAAGGTTAATATGACTCACGTAATATGTGATATTAGTGCAGCAATGAGAAAAAGTACGGTGGCCCTGAAAGGTCAAATGTGTAACTTAAGAAAACACCAGCAAAAATTCTGCAAAAGTACACAAAATAAAATAGAAAAACCTTACAAAAAAACTAAAGAAAACTCACAAAACAGAACGTGTTTTGGGGGGACAATAATGTGACGGAACAGCAGCGGAAGTGACATGCTAACAGTTAACGGCTAAAAGCAAACAAGCATCTACAGAATTATATGAGTTATGAGACTAAAACAGTCAGCCCCTTGTATCTTTTTCCTCCTCACAACACTGAGGCGTCTTCCGCTTCTTTTAAGTTTGTCTCAGGGCGATTCTTCCCATGTTTTGGTTTCTGTCACTTATGCAGCCGTTCCGTCATGGTAATGCTTCCCCCAAGAACACAAGTTTTCGGTTTTCTTTACTTCCATTGTGGGTCTTTTTTTGGATTTTTTTTTCTTATCTGCATTTCTGTTGTGTTTTGTGTACTTTAGCAGCATTTTTTTTATTTGCTGGTGTTTTCTTAAATCGTAGTGCATTTGACCTCTCTGAGTTACTGTAAATTTTAAAAAGTTAAAAACATACAAGCATCTAACAGCTGAAAAATTCCTCTCAAGAAAATCCTTCAATCTGATGCTTTGAATCTTTTTGAATCATGCACCTCACAGGTGAACCAGGTCTTACACGGTGTATCCTTTGAACAAAATCCAGAAAGCACATTGTAACAAGACAATGGGACTGAATATAAAATTAGATGAGTATTGATCAGAATTTCCATATCCAGCATGCTATTGATTTCTGCCTAAATTGCACCGCTGCGTTTCATCTGGTTCCATATTTACTCGGCTCGATCTACAGAACGAGACAAAGCTTTACCAGGTTTCTGTCTGTGTTATGAAAAGATAAAACAGCGTGCAGCTTACTGATCCACCACATGTCACAAACTGCCTTAAATATTCAGAAGTTTAAGGCCATAGTTTAAAAAAAAAAGAGAAACAGCAATTTACGACACAAAAAATGATCGAATGAGCCAGTCAATATTCCCGCTAATTTATTTCACTTATGTCATGCTCTGATGATTTAGGCTAATTGATCATAGGCAGCTTGATAGGCATAACCTATCACTATGTGACAATAAACCAATGTGAGCAATAATTGCAGTCTTAGCTTTTATCTCATGCTTGCCTGCAGGACATGAACGTAAAATGGTACATTTGATATTCAGTAAAAAATAGTCTTTGTCCTCACATTAAACTAATCTAACAAAATAGACATTTTTCTTTGTTTTTAGCTTAACAAGGACTAAAAGGGTTAGTAGATGGGGGTCAGGTGGGGGCTTTAATTTAATTATTCACTTACAGTGTAGGAGCAGAGGGTGGAGCACCAGGAAACGAGCATTGATTCTTTTGGCCATTTAAGGAAAGTAGCCATTAGGAATGAGGCTGATTCATTAAGAACATTACGGAGAGAAGCTGCTGTTCATTAAAACCAGTAAACAGGAAGTTCACTCATATTAGGACAGACCAGGAAGTGAGGAAGCGATGCCACGCCTCACCTGGTGCTTGTGTGTCTCTCTGTGACCTTTACAAGGAATGCGACGTGTGACCCACTGCAAAGGTAGGCCACTCACCCCCGTCCCCTAATACACATCCGCTCCCAGTTATCCACAGCTCTCTGGACACTGCAGACAATTTGTTCTGATCTCTGAACACATATCACTTTTGCTCTAAGCCTCAAAAGCTATTTTACTCTTCTGGATAAAATATGGAGTATAACTCTGAAATTTCAACTCATAGTTTTGTTCACCTCCAACTTTTAGGTATCTAAAACTTTCGCAGTACACAGAAAGCTGTCCAGACCGGGGCGGGAGTGGGTTCACAAAAACTGTGTGAACATAACCTTCCCTGGATTAATTAACATAAAAACGCCCACACCTCCTACCTAACCTCCACCGAGTGCTGCATCAGAGTGGGATTGCAGTGTTTGCAGTTTACTTATTATTCAGCTGTGGGCGAAGCTGCCGCCTTACCACAGTTGTGCCTGTTTGCTCACAGCCTCACTTTCGCTCACAGGCATTTAGTCTCTGTCACCATAGTAACCACACAAAGATTTCTGACACTTGCTGCCTCGCAGTCGCTTTGAGTTTTTCTGCAAACTCTTTAAATCCTCTGTTCTCAGATCCTTCGCTTCAGTTCAGAGCATGTAGATTTGCCACTGCTTATTACCTCCCCACCCTCAAAGTGAATATTTGCATTACAAACACACTGAGTATCTGATTTTGGGTAGTTCCTATTGAAGTCTGTTTGATTTTTTTTTTTCAGCTTGTAGTTTTCTCACACAGCCTGACAAGTGTGAGTGTGTGTTTGGGTGTGTGTGTATGTGTGTGTTTGTGTGTGTGTGGTCCCCTTCAGATGAGTGTTTGAACAAAACTGACCAAAGTGAAGGCCAAGCCCACTTCTTTAAAGATATATTGGTGTTTGCACAGCCTTGTTACAGGGGAATGTAATCTTTAAAACAAACAATGAGATGATTGTGAACATTTTGTTGCTAAAAGCATCTGGTTCCAACGTTTCAGGCTAGTGACTTCTTAAAATGAAGTCGTGTGTGTGTGTGTGTGTGTGTGTGTGTGTGTGTGTGTGTGTGTGTGTGTGTGTGTGTGTGTGTAGCCTCTTGTCGCAGACTGGACGTATTTGTGTTTTTGAGAAGTTAACCCCCAAAAAGGTGTTGTTTACCCCCTAAACCTTTCATGTTAATGTTTTAATTAAAATAAAACCTGAAAAAAACAACACTGAAGTTAGACTTTCAGTCCAATTTGATTAATCAGAAATTCAGCAATAAAGCTTTTTTTAAATGTAATTAAGAGATTATAGCCCCATAAAATATAGCAGTTATAAAATATATGGTCTTTTTTTGTAACACCATTTTCTTTATTTTGCAATCTCTTCCAAAGGCTGTAAATTATGATCTCCATTTATAGTAAAATAGAGGATAATGCAGGGAATGCTTTTAGGGCGTGGCTACCCGCAATTGTGCTATGTCTTAGTTTTTTAAACCAGAAATGATATCCAAGGCACAAATCTGACTGAGAAACCCAGATGGCCAGAACCAGTATTGTCAACTCAAAGCATTAATATGCAAACCAGTTGACAACCATGACTGCTGCCATCATTTATATACAGTTTATGTAAAGGCTCCAAAACAAGGTTTCGAATGACTGAGGGGGAGATCTTATATGAGACCAACTAAAAATGACAAATTTAATTTGCATTGCTCAACAGATACTAAATTACTACTTTTCTAAATATATCCCAGTCTTCAACAATATGCTGGCTTAAATTGGGAATAATTTCCATAGTTTCCCTGTGTCCTACCAGTTTCATAATTCTTGTACTTAATGTAAAAACTTCATGTGTCTAACTTCTTGCATTTCTTGATCCTGCTTTGTCCCTATTTTGCCCTCTTCATCTGTCCGGCCCTGACAACCTCTATTGCCCCGCTTCATCAACAACTCCCCTGCTCTTTCTCCTTATCTATGTTATAGTCACAGTACAGATTTACCTCAGCCGCTCTACAAAGTTGACTGGGAAAGGCAGCGTCCCTGCAGCTTCAGGGGTAACAACCCGTTCAGCCGCCAACACACAACAAACCTCAGAAATCAGCAGGGCCAAAAAAGGCAACTCTGCTAAGGTTTCAGTGGCCAGAACGACCCCGAATTTTAGCATCCAGCTGAGGAAGACCGGGAGCCTGTCATCCTACTCTCCCCTTAATACACCCAGCTACCGCAGCCCTATTAAATCCCCCAGCCAGTACTTCCAGATTTGTTATTAGCAAACATAAGCAAGCTTATCTAGAGAGGACAGCATGTTTTATGTCTAAAGTAATAAAGGAAGATTCATGATTTTAAACCTGATCTTTCCCTTTAAAAACAACACAAGGAAAGAATCAGAGAAAAAGCAGCAAAATGAGTACAAAAACCTTTAAAGCCATCAATTTGATCCATTAGTCAACCTTTCTGATTATCTGTTAACATTAAAGTTTATTTTGTTCATTTTGGTTTCCTTCTGCATGGTTTATTTTGCATGTTTTAAAATGATTTCTCAGTGTTTCCTCTTCTAAGCCTCAATCTGTTTTTTTTTTTTCTTTTCACTGCTTCTTTTGTCTGCGTTTCATGTTGGTCAATCTCTGCTGTGAGCTGAATATTCCTGAGTTGTGAAGATTTTTAACAAAGTGTTTGCAGTTTTATTTTGTGCTGCTTCTTGTCATATATGTGTTTTGAAATGGCCAATAAAAGTCCGTTAAAAAGCTGTTTGTCTTCCCAAGCTCTGTCATTTTTTGATCATCTCACATCACTTCATCCTCTCGTCTTGTCTTACACTCAGTATTATCACCCTTGTCATTCACACCATAATGGATGTATTAAGTAGCAGTGCTGTGTGTGCTTCTGTTTTGCCGTATAGTAAAAAAAAATGACACTGTAAGTGATTTAATTCCACCCAGGATTCAGGGGTTCTGTGTTTGTGCATCTAAACATTATCTCACCGATTATTCTTGTTGCCTTTTCTAGAGGAGGGTTATGTGAAAATGTATTTGAAAGGACGCCCCGTCACCATGTACATGCCCAAAGACCAAGTGGACAGCTACTGCCTGGAGGCAAGAGCAGAGCTACCTAGCAACAAACTCAAGCTGGACTGGGTGTATCCTTTTACTGCAACCTATTTGCCAAATACCAGAGGCAGGGAGCTTGTGTGAGAGCATTTTGACATGTTTTGAACAGAAAAAGTTCAAGTATAATCCCACTTTCTGATTTGGAAAGTTTCTCAAAGTAATCATCTGAGGAAATCCACATTGTGATGTAGTTGTGGGAGTTAAGAGGAGGAAGGCACGAGCCTGTCTTTTTGCTCTCCCTGCTTGTCAGAGCAGATCTGTTCAGATGTTCATTTTCACCGGATTGTGCTGCCGCTGTCGGAGCCGGGCTCATCGCTCTGCGGCCTGGAGTCAGTAATAACCTGCGCACAGCTGGCAGGCTAAAGCACGGCCAGTCAGCAGCTCCTCTTGTGCTGTTTTATTTTTACTTTGTGTCACTGCGGTTTTATTTCTTTGCTTCTTTTGTTCGTTGATGAAGGAGTGAATATAGCTGGTTGTTAAGCCTGTCACAAACCCAGAGGCAAAACAGAAAATGATCAAATCTGATAAGGAAAGCACAAACAACAAACACACCGACAGAAATACAAACGTGGGCCGTGCATTTTGGATATGATGAATTACCCATTTTTAAAATGGACCTATATAGCTTTTGGTTGTTTTCTTTTGCAGTGAAGAATGTCCACATTAAACATGCCGAAAGTGTAATTCAACAATAATATGAATAGAGCAGCATGTAATGCTTTAAAAAGCTCTAAACGCTTGGTTTCAGACCGTTTTCCTTGGATCTACATGATGTCAAAGAGACTGAAATCTTTAATGCAGTCATCTCAGCCTTGGAAGCCCCTCCCACCCACTGTTCAAGTGTTCTGTTTGCAAGTGGCAGCCAATCAGAAGAAAGGCGAGATTAGCTCACTCAGTGGACTAAATGAAAAGAATGAAGACAAAGGATTCCTTTTCACTATGAATCATGCAAAGCTAATTTTATAGTCTATTATTTTTGCTTCTCCTGATCTCAGTTTTAATCCACACAGTTTAAATTTATGAATGCTACACAAATGAAAGCACATAGCTGTTTGTGATTAAAGAAAACAGAGCAAAACATGTGTTATAGACCCATTTAGGGTTTTCCTTTCTTTCATTCCTTGACCGCTTTCTTGTTCAGCTATGGCTACCGTGGTCGAGACTGTCGCTCCAACCTTTACTTGCTCCCCACTGGAGAAACGGTGTATTTCATCGCCTCCGTGGTCGTCCTGTTTAACGTGGACGAGCGGTTGCAGAGACACTACACCGGACACACAGACGACATCAAATGGTAAGAGACGTCAGCAGCCCAGATCGAGTCTTTAATCTCGCTCTCATCTCTTTGCTCCTTTTGTATCTCCTATCCCTGAAAAATACACAATTGACTCATGTAACTACAGCAGGCGAAGTAACAGGTGCACTCAAGTGTTGCATTCAGGCACAAGGCTGAAAGTATATTTGTAGGAAAGCTCGGAGTGCAGTGAGAGTAACCTTGAGCAGTCACTGCCATGATTATGTTATCACACGCTGAGGTTAATAAAAGTTCATCTTATTAATCACCAGTTTGGATTACAGATCAGAGGATGAATCAGAGAGATTCTCGCTCCTTTTAAGACAAAGTGTTTGAACTTCCTGCGAGTGGTGCTGCACCGCCAAAGCCCCCAAAGGAATTCATCTTAATATGTTTAATTTCCCTCCACAGTTTGACGCAGACAGCGTGTGGTAGCTACAGCGAATATCATATTCATATCTTTAAAAATCTCACTCACCAAAAGCGGCCTTTCATGTCCTGGGAGCACATGGCTCATCTTTATTCAAACGGTCCTTTGATGTCAAAAAGCCTGTTTTCACATCTTTCTCTCCACCAGCCTGGCTGTCCACCCTGATAAAATCACCATAGCAACTGGGCAGGTGGCGGGCACCTCCTCAGACGGAAAAGTAAGTGAGATCTGCTCCTTATGTTTTATCAAGTTATCTGTTATCATTTTTGATTTATTGTGTTTGGGTGTAAATTCTATTTTCTTGAAGGAACAGATTTACCTAATTCTGGCAGAGAGTTCCTGCATCCAGCGGTCACTTTTTTAGGTACACCTTACTCTTACAGAGTTGGACCCTTTTTTCCTTCCAAACTGCTTTAATTGTCTATGGAAACATTTCTCAAAGATGTTGGTTCATGTTGACATGATAACATCACACAGATGCTGCAGAAATGTTGGAGCACAGCCATGATGCAACCTAAACAGCCTTTGGGTTGTGGTGGAGATCTGGTGGCTGTGGAGAGCATTTGTGAGCAGTGAACTCATCGCCGTGTTCAAGAAACTAGCGTAACCCTGGCTGATTAGATATTTGCATTAATAAGCAGCTGAGCTGTATCTAATAAAGTGGCCAGCGAGTGCATTTTTCTCAGTGAATTTGCTTCTTCAAGCCGTACGTCACATCAAACTGATGTGTTGTGCCGATGGTTGTGTGCACTCCCTGTCTGGCAGCAGCTGGCTCCTCACGTTCGTGTGTGGGACTCCGTCAGCCTCAACACCCTCCATGTTCTGGGCACCGGCTTCTTTGACAGAGCGCTCGTCTGCTTGGCTTTCTCCAAGTCGGTGAGGAAACCCCCTCTGACACACTTAAATAAATAAATTAGTGACTTCATAAATTAATTACAGTGTCACAAACTGCATGAACTGATGTATAAATTGTGACATAAGTTCATATTTTGTTTAAATTTCTTTTGTTTTTTATTAACCTTGGTTTCCCATTTAGTTTGTTCTATATTTAATTAATTCTTCATTTCTACTGCAAGAACAGGCGCTGTCATTCACAGCAGGTCGGAGGTTAACTTCACCTCTGTTGGTTTATCAGTGCCAAGCTCACAATATATAGTTCAAGCACTCAGATAATCTAGTAAAAATTAATACTGTCAGTAAATTAGTCTTAAATTATTCATTGGCTACATTAATTTTTAATATGTTTTTATTACATTTAATGAATTGATCATTTATTTATTGAGTCCATTTATTACTTTATTCATTTTTTATTTTGACAGTTCCAGTTCTCTGTAAAATTAACCTCTTTATTTTCAAAACACTTTTAATGTCAGAACGGAGGAAACACACTTTGTGTCGTCGACGACTCCAACGACCACGTCCTCTCTGTGTGGGACTGGCAGAAAGAGGACAGACTGGCTGAAGTTAAGGTATCTGCACATGTATTGTGTGATTTCTTTGTGTTTGTGTTTGGGTGTGATTGCCTCAGTAGGCTCAGTGTTTAATGTTTCTCCTGAGCTTCATTCTTTCTTTTCTTTTTTTTCCCACGTGTTTTGGCTCAGTGCTCCAACGAGTCGGTGTTTGCTGCGGACTTTCACCCCACAGACAGCAACATCGTGGTGACGTGTGGCAAGTCCCATCTATATTTCTGGAACCTGGAGAAAGGCATGCTGGTCAAGAAGCAGGGACTGTTTGAGGTAGGACTGTTCCTCACATGTTAGGAAGCATATTCACATCTAGAGTCATGACAGTATGTAACGTCATGAGTTGTTGCGTTGCTATATATAGAAATTTGGGGGTAGCTGAGCAAAATTCAGTTCATGTATGTTCTTGTGTTTACTGCAGAAACAAGAGAAGCCCAAGTTTGTGTTGTGCGTGACCTTCGCGGAAAATGGAGACGCTATAACCGGAGACTCGAGTGGGAACATCCTGGTGTGGGGAAAAGGTACTTGACTGTTTCACGCTCGCCTGTGAAAAGGATCATGTCTGTAGGGTGTACACAGTGAGTGAGTCTGCAGAGAAAGAGAGCGTACCACGGCTGAAAATAGGGGTGTGGTCAAAAATAGAAAAAGCTGTGTGCTTTCACAGAAGAAGTGTGCGTCAGAAGCACAACGAAAAAATGGACAATAATGATTCTGTCTGCGAAGGATTTTGTGGTTATAAGCTCGAAGATGCATCACTGTGGTGGTGGAATCAGGAGACTAGGAGTCAAAGATGTGTCTCAATCTGAACTGTTTTATATAAAAGGAAAAAAAGGTGCAGGAGATGTGCAGTCTTACAGTTTTATACCCTCATCACACCATCTGTCTCTGTCAGTTTATCTTCCCTCTGCGTACAGTCGACCTTTACGCCCTTCTCTGTCCCATCTTCATTGTGCAGGCACTAATCGCATCAGCCACGTCATCCAAGGAGCTCACGAAGGCAGCATCTTTGCTCTGTGCATGCTGAGGAACGGCACTCTGGTGTCTGGGGGGAAAGACCGCAGGCTCATTTCCTGGGACAGCAGCTACCAGCAGACACAAACGGTGGAGGTGAGAAAGCATAAACGCTCTGAGGCAAATGCAAAGTTTATAAATTACACATAATTTTACAGATGGGGTACACTAGTCATGCTGTTAAGCATTTGACAGAATCCTTGGGTTTTTAATGCTTAGTTGCTCAGCTCTATAGCTCTTAATGATGCACCAGAAGCACACACTGTTAAGATGTATTAATAAAATGTTAAGCTGAATATCAAGCACCTTCCTCCAAGTAGGTCTCAGTCTGGAATATTAGCCAGAATTTGCATGCATGCCTGAGGCGGCTGACTATGCATTCTGAATACTGCATCTTATTATAAATATTACAGAGGATAAGATGGATTTGTGCTTTCAAAGAGATTCACAGGCATTTATAGCAATGACACTCGGGGTTCACATTGACTGTATTATTATTATAAATTAGCTTGTCTTGCCTGAGGCAGCTGTTAGGTTCCAGGTGAAGCGGTGCTGTGCATGATCGCTGCTTTTCCTCTACAGGTGCCTGAGTTGTTTGGTCCCATCCGGACTATAGCAGAGGGCAGAGGGGAGAGTGTGCTCATCGGGACCACAAAGAACTTTGTTTTGAAAGGCAGTTTGGATGGAGAGTTCATGCCCATTACACAGGTACATGCAGCAGTCAGGTTTATCTCTACATTGGCTGTCCAATAGGAGGGTTCCTTCTTCTTCCTTTCCTTAGAACCTACTACTAGCTCATCTCAAGTTCATGCAGATGAAAATCAAATTTTAATGAATAAATGAATGTGTTTGATTAAGTTACAACAGGATGTGTTCAAATGCTTTGCACAACCCCAAAACAGTAGTTTGCTGATTAGTTTTATCAGCTTTGTTTCTTTCTCTTTCATTCTCTTCTTTTCTGCAGGGTCACACTGATGAGTTGTGGGGTTTAGCCATCCATCCCTGGAAACCTCAGTTCCTGACCTGTGGGTATGACAGGCAGGTCTGTCTGTGGGACTCAAGCTCCCATCAGCTGATCTGGTCCAAGAGCCTGGAAGTAAGTTTAGGCAACACTGGCCCCTGGGGTCAGTCACTGGAATTACACAGCAAACATATGAAGATCATTTTTATGTCTATTAGAATAAACAGGACATCAAGTAGCAAAAGTGCATGTACAAATTTACAGCAAAGCTATCAGCATAACATTATTTATACTTTATATAAATTTGGATTATTTGAATTATTGATCACATTAAAGATTCCCTCCAAATACATTTCATAACACAATTCAGTAAAAAATAAATCTTCTTTTTCTATTGCATCTATTTCTTCTCTCTTGCTAAAGAAATCAATTTATATGTGTGATCCCAGTCATACGAGTGAGATGTGAAGTGCTTAACTGATTCCGATTTTGATTAGCATGATGGTATACATCTTCTACATGACTGAGATCATCATTTTCAATGTCTGCGCACTGTAGACTACAAAAGTAGAGCTCACAAAATCATGCTCATATGTACCAAACGCATCTTAAATTTAAGGCAAGCAGTGAAACCAGGAGATAAACGTAAAATCTGCACACAAGTGAATCTGCATAGTGAGGTAACAATAATCAAAACCCATTAATGAGTGAAGGGGTGGACTTTAAATGTCATGTTCTTTCTTCTTCTCACAGGATGCTGCACAGTCAGCAGGTTTCCATCCTTCTGGAGCTGTGGTTGCTGTAGGAACCCAGACGGGCAGGTATAGACACCATCACTAAAAAGCATTTACTGCCAATGCGCTTGGTTAAGAGATACAGCCTTTACTTTACAGCTAAAAAAAAAGTATTTGTAAGATTTTGATTGGTTCTGTCATCAATCCTGCAGGTGGCTGGTACTGGACACAGACTCTAAGGATTTAGTCACAATGCACACAGATGGGAATGAGCAGCTGTCGGTTATGCGCTATGGGCCAGGTATGGTGTTAATCTCATGTTTGTGTATTAATGTTAGGAAAATTAAGAAGACTACACAGAAGACTTGTATGTGTTGTAGTTTATGTTGATTGAAGAGAGCTAAAACTGCCAAAATCAAAACAAAAGAAGTCATATACTCATGAGCCACTTTATTAGGTACACCTCTCTTCGACCCCATTTTGCCTCCAGAACAGGCTTAATTGTTTGCGGCATCGATTCAACAATGAGCTGGAAACATACTGACATGATAGCAAATATCACGTTCCATCCTGTCCCAAAGGTGCTCTACTTCATTGAGAGCTGGTGACTGTGGAGGCCGTTTGAATACGGTGAACTCAAAGCCAGTTTGAGTGTTGTGACATGGCACATTGTTTTGCAGCTATCAGACGATGGGTTCACTGTGGTCATAAAGGGATGGACATGGTCATTTGTGGAGTTTAAACAATGATCACTTGGTACTAAAGGATGCCAAGAAAATATCCCCAGTACTATTACACCAGAATCAGCCTGAACCAAAAATACAGGGCAGGGTGGATCCCTGCTGTTATATTGTTTATGTGAAATCCGCTTAAGCTTAAAGCAGTCTGGCCATTCTTCTCTGACCTTTGGCATCAAAAATGCACTTTCGCCCAGAGAACTGCTGCTCACTGAATATTTTCTCCTTTTCCAACCATTCTCTGTAAACCCTGGAGATGGTTGTGTGGGAAAATCCCACGTCAGCAGTTTCGAAACACTCCTGCCTGGCACCAACAGTCACATAAATCACCCTTCTTCTCCAGTCTGGTGCTCAGATTGAACTTCAGCAGTCTTGACCATGTCTACATGCCTAAATGACTGAGATGCTGCCATGTGATTGGCTAATTATAGCCTTCTTGTTAACAAGAAGTGGAACAGGTGTACCTAATGAAGTGATCAGTGAGTGTATATGAATTACCAAGTAATATTGTTATAAAAACCAAAAAGTTAATACAACCAGCTAACTGCGCTAACACGTTGACGCCGTGCAGCCCCGCACGGGGTGATCGGCGTTAACTCGCTAACGGAGATTTGCTGCATTAATGCAGTTAAACGTCATTTTAACGAGATTAACGCTACCAGCACTAATATATACATTCAACAATTACATTAGATTATTTTGTTTTAAATGAATTTTGCAAATATCTGATATTGTGCCAAGAGTGTGAGAATGCTTTGATCCATATTTTCCTATATTAGGTAATGAACATCTGCTATACCTGCAGCATCAGATGTATCGCCTGCCTCCTCACAGTGGATATCCATCTACAACAGTCTAGTTAATTATTTGCCATTTGCAAACCTGTTTTTTAATTTATATTTCATTTTATGACCTCTAATGTTCCTCTTTTCTTCATCTTATATAGATGGTAACTTCCTGGCCATCGGATCCCACGACAACTACATCTATATCTACGCTGTGGCAGAAAATGGGAGGAAGTACAGTCGAGTGGGGAAGTGCTCGGTGAGCACCTGTATTTATAATCCCCCTCATCCTTTATTTCAAGTTCCTTTCTGCTTCACCTTTATCTTTAGCTCCCTCCTCAGTTCTGCATTTCAGTGCTTTCTGGATGTGTGTTTACAGAGAACCGGCAAAGTCATAAATAACAACCCCCAGAGTCATACCCTGCTGAGACTATGCATCAACATTTCTAGGATTATTTATAGTTCTTGGATACCCATACTGACTCCACTCTGAAAATACTGTGAAGTGTGTGTTGCTGTGTGTGTCTGAGATGCATTTTTAAACTTTTCTAACTTCTCCCAGGGTCACTCCAGTTTCATCACTCATCTGGACTGGTCTGTGGACTCTCAGTACCTGGTATCAAATTCAGGCGACTATGAGATACTGTACTGTAAGTCACTTATCCTCAAGTTTCCTTTAGGATTGATATAATTCTTAAAAATGCCACGAAATCTAGTAAAGTTGGCCTAAAATGATTTTTCCCCTTTCATGCATTCATGAAACTAATCACTGTGCAAAACTGTGTTCACAACCTGCTCTGAGGTAGCAGGAGAGCACAAACTTGGTTGTGCATTTGAGCAATCTTACGGTAGTTAGTTTCGTAAGATGTTGAGTGTAAAGTTTTCAGTCACAGTAATTTGGAGTTGGCATGCCCAACAGCACCCATTCTAAGCCACGCTAAGACCTGTTTTGTATTTGCTTTGTATTTGTTTCCTCAGGGATCCCATCAGTGTGTAAACAGGTGGTCAGCGTGGAGACAACCAGAGATATTGAGTGGGCCACCCACACCTGCACTCTGGGCTTCCAGGTCTTTGGTAAGTGGCGGATCCTTTGATCTCCCTCTTTACGTGTATGTTGGTGTTTAATTGTGCATTCAGTAGACATTTCCGGCGCCCTCTGCTTCCCCAGGCCTGTGGCCCGACGGCTCAGACGGCACCGACATCAACGCCGTGTGCAGATCCAACGATAAGAGCCTCCTGGTTACCGGAGACGACTTTGGGAAGGTCCACCTCTTCTCATACCCCTGCTCACAGTTCAGGGTGAGATGCTGCTCACGGTGATGTTAAGCAGGATATTCGGCTCAGTATCGAAAAACAGTGTTGTTTTTGTTTCTTTCCAGGCTCCCAGCCATGTTTACGGTGGCCACAGCAGTCACGTGACCAATGTAACCTTCCTGTATGATGACAGCTACCTGGTGTCGACAGGTGGGAAGGACATGAGCGTGATGCAGTGGAGGATAGTCTGAGCGAGCACAGAAATGGATACTGTCCAGCTTCTCGCTGCTGCTGCTGCTGCTGCTGCTGCGGCTGAAGCAAAGTGAACCAAACTGCACTAAACTGAACCAAACCAAACTGAAACGAACTCATACGCTAACACAGATGTGGATCTGAATTAACTGAAGTGGTTTTGATTGAAGAGAAACTTTTTGACCTGAGGTTTCCTTTCCCCGATCCACACACAGATCCTAACTGCGACAAACTGTCGGGGGTCTGACATGCGCCTGCTTGAAAGACAAAAATCCTCTTATTTCCCCCTTTCTCTGTCTCCGCACTACATGTAAAAAGAAAAGAAATCTCCCCCTCGCGTACTGTAGCCTTGCACCCAGCGACATTAAACAAAACAAATCAAACGGATCAATGCGAAAACCAAAGGCCCTGTCTGACCCGATGGGTGCGTTTTTACAGTTTGGCTTCACTGTCCTTGTGTAGTACACACTCCTGCCACCAGATAATGGACTGAAGAGGTTTGTTTTGCTGCCTTTCAGAGCCCCTCCAGACTGAACTGGAGATCCGAGAACACTGCAACAAAAACTGTGCACAGAAGGAAATACAGTGTGATTTTTTTCTAATTGTCAAACTTTTATTTTGTATTTAACAACTCAGGAAAGCACTAGTGAAGCAAGGCCCTTCCCCGTTTTGTTAACACTGTCACATCAGAAAGAGTCTCTGAAAAAACATCTCACTAAAATATCCAAACGTCTCATTAACGGTTAATATTAGATCCAACTTTTGTTCAGCCATTATTGCTTTGTTGGTTTTGTGGGACTGAGGAGGATACTGTGAGTGAGGAGGTTGTTACCCACTATTTAAAACCAGAAGGATCTAATAAGAAATTTATTTGAACATATTCAAATTGTTTGTGCTTCCATCTCTTTACACAGGACCCCTTTCCTATTATTTATTAATTGTGCGTAAAATCCTTCACTGCCAGCTTGATTTCCTTTGACCCTTTTTCCTGCAATAAATCTCTGTTTAGATCGGTAGATGTACTAAAAAGCTTGAAACTGATCTGAGGACGTTGTGGGTGAAATATACACTATTTTGGTTTGCTAGGTTTCTCTGACTTTTGCCTGGAGTGCAAGGAGAATCAAAATGAAGCGTATGCTGAGGTTTTCAGTGATGTGAAGCCCTTTCAAATCTGTGTCTTTCCACTTTTTATTGTACCTACATCAGTTTATGAAGGGGAAGAATGAGACCATTACACTGTAACTGTCTGATGTGCTTCTCAGCTGTGCGCCATCAGTCACTGGCAAGGTATTTAACAGAACTGTTGAGATGTTTTTTGGGGGTTTTTTCTATAATGCACTGCTTCTGCCTGATTTAAAAAAAAAAAATACAGCAGGTCTATTAAGCTAATTAACATTTAGCACTTACTGGAGCTTTTCATAAACCAATGTCTGCTCTCAGGCTTTAAAGCTGTCTGCCATCCGATCAGTGGTACGATGTGTAGCATGTCACACTCCTTATGGTTAACAGAAAAGCCAAATGAGCACACGTGCATGAGTAAATGGGACTTTTTTTTACGTGATAATTGGTTGGGGTTTAGCTGATTTTAGTGTGAACATAGCTGCTGCTGTTATGAGGCACACTGAGGTGGTTTAAAAATCCTGAAGGCTGGCTGATTGTTTTATCGGTTTATGTCCTTTTATCAGGAAAATTTCTGATCTTTTAACAACAGTGATTTAAAGCTGCCACTCTGCAGAGTGAATGTAACATTTATTTGTCTTACCACTTTAACACTTGGGGCTGCAAAATACCATTGAACATTAAAATCTCTCTGGAAGTAAATGATGAAATACAAATGATCTTTTGTCTTATATTTTTCACTTTTCTCTTTTTTATTTGTTTAATTCTTTCTTTGACATGTGGCTTTTGTTTTATTGAAAATTCTAACAAAGGAAATCCACTCACAGGGACTATAGAGTGGAAATTGAAATCAGTTAGTTGTAAAAACAAAAAACAAAAAAAATGACAACAACATTTCACTCTAAAGCAGAATACAACATTTGTAGTACCTGTAGACGCCCTGGAGGGCTAAAATTGCCCAAATCAAAAATAAATAAATAAATAAAAAAATAAAAATAATAATAATAATAATTTTATATATATATATATATATATATATATATTATATATATATATATATATATATATATATATATATATATATATATATATATATATATAAATATAAGGTGGAATTAAATGCAACATAAAATAATTAATACATAAATTAATAATTAATAATTGGATAATAAATTCAATGCTAATATAAATGTAACTGGTACATGTACAAGCTCCAGTATTCTTTGTTGTGTTTTGCTATAGGTCACGAAAAGAAAATGAGACAATCCCTTTTAAGGTCTTCTAAGTATAGAAATGGAAAAAATCATTCATTGTAGCCCATTGGTAGGTGGTTGCTGAGCAACCTCATGATATCATAATGCATAATGCACGGTTGAAGTTTTGTGGAGGTAAACAGGATGCCACTGTCGTAAAATTAAAAAGGACAGTGTGCTTTAATAAGGCATTGTGCGTGCATAAATTCTTAAAACATCATTTTAGCCCACTGAAAGGTGGTTGCTAGACAACGTGACAATATCATTAGATCTGATATAGATAAGAACCTTCAGGGATCTAATGCTGTGTCCACACTGGAAGCACTTCACAGCAGCGTGATAACTTCAGGCAACTACGGGAGAAATAAACACTGGGGATGCAAAGTGAGCGGAACCTCACATAAGTTTTTCTCAACTTGTGAGTGATTGAAGAGACTACCAGTGAGGATTCTCTTGACTAACATATGACCTGATGACTTGGTAGTAAACTTGGTAGTAGTACATTAAGACAATTATTTTCCACCACACCAGCCAAGCACCTCAGTTCTCTATAGCAACTATTCGAGGGAGTAATTTCTGTTAAGAGCCTGAGGTTAGTTAGAAAGAACAAAGCTGACCTCATAAAATAGTTGGAAAAAATTCAATAGAAATTAATAAAAGACATGTAAAAAGCAAAAAAATATTTTAAGAAAATAATCATGTAAATGCAATGATGCAGGGCTGAGATAGATTGTGGTCGCCCGACCAGAGGACGTCGGGCTAGCGATTTTGCGAGCCCTGATGCGTAAATCAATAAATAGAATGTAAAATCAAATTGGAAGACGAATAAATAGAGGTTTAATTAAACGGTAAAGAAATACACAAGCAAATCAAAATAAATATAAATATTTGTGTGTGTGTGTGTGTGTGTGTGTGTGTGTGTGTGTGTGTGTGTGTGTGTGTGTGTGTGTGTGTGTGTGTGTGTGTGTGTGTGTGTGTACTAACAATCATTTGTTTAGTTAGCTTTATTTTTGGCTCATGTGGTCCTCCATACATTAGGGGGCTAGACCAGACTACTTGTTTGCCTGCTGAGACTCTGACGGGTGGGGTACTTAGGGGGCGTCAGTTCCCTGCATGTGTGCGTCTTGGCCGCAGGTGGGCAGCATTGAGCCGGTCGGCTCGCACCCCCTCCCCTCTCCCTTTGCACGCCGTATTAGCATTTTCCCCAAAATCTGTCCATCTCACCAAAACACTCCGAATGGGAAGAAAATATGGCATGAAGGAGGCGGCTGACGACCACGGTTCACCGTCTTCTACCGAGCGCGAGCACCGACTGAACATGGACTTAAGGACACGCGGCGTAAGCAGCAGCGCGTGCGGAGAGCAGAGACAACGGAGCACAAAGCGGATGGAAGAAAACGCTCGGGTTGTCGCTTAGCGTTTCACGACCCATCCTCAGCCTGTGATATCGCCACAGACGCGCAGAGAGGACACAAGGTGGAGGCCGGCGGGCTGCTCCGAGCCTCACACGAGGGTATATACTGAAATAATAGCGGGACGTATTGAGCAGCCTCATCAGTGCCATCAGCCCCGGTTGAATAAAAGAGGAGGAAAATGAGGTAAGCACCGTATCGTGCGCTGTCATGGCAGATGCGCAGCGACACGGAGCCCTCTCCGGGGCTACATCTGCATTTCCACAATAACCTCGCTGGAATGATCATTTACTGAATAACTGCAGCATCTTCTCATATTTTATTGCCAGTTTTTCCTCCGGGTGCCCACCCACCCGGCCTCATCCCCTTCACCCACCTTCCATACGTGCGCCCTTTAACTGTGCGCTTTTATGTCATATTGTTAAATGGCGAATTATCGAAATGACTTCTCCGCTTTCCACCCCCCTCCACCCCCTTCTTTGTCACCGCCGGACCCACCCAGCGCATTGAAGGCAGGATTCAGGCCAGGTTGATGTTGTCATGGAAACGACAGCATCATGTATTTCCCTACATAAGCAATTCGGGTGCACCCGGTGAAATGATAAAAAAAATAAAATAAAATACTGCTTTCGTTAAATGTGATTGATGCACCGCCGGGGTGAGTGGCTGCAGGAGGGGAGTGTGTTGGTGTGGTGGGTGGGGGACAGGATAAATGAGGGTGCTTATAACCGTGGCAAGAGGAGGAGGAGGGTGTTTATTCCGGTGGTTGCTAGGCAGGTTAACAGACCCCCACCCCCTCACCCACTTCCCATATACACCTACAGAAACCATGATGGTTGCATATATGCATACTATCCAGTCTGTGGCTCTTTTTGAAGTCATTCTACATCTGAGCTTATGGGCGGTATTTTGAGCCCTTTCCTGGTTGTGCTGGTATGCAGAACGCGCTGAGGCCCAGATCTTCTTCTTCAGCAGGAGGAGCAGCAGTCTTTATACTCTGTGCTATTTATGAAGCAGTCCTTTTATGTTTCCCCCTTCCTGCCTTAGTTTGACTCCTCCATGTCTCCGTAGCTGCAGTCAGCCTGCACCATTCCGTTTTACAGCCTCAGATTTACTCTGACAGCTCTCCTCAGATACAGTGCACTCTCGCTCTGCTTTTCCTGTAGCTACCGGTGTTGGTCTGTATCTTTGTGAGAGAGTCTGCTGAGAGTCTGTGGAATCAAAAAGGAAAAGGAAAAAGAGAGAGAAAGGGAACAAAAAATGGGATAAATCATATTTGTGAAGTGCTTCTGTTTTTTTATTTCCAGTCCCAATAATTCACCGTCATCCTGTAACCTCACCCAGCACAAAGCCAGTGGCTCAACTGCTCCAAGACGTAAACATGCAAGATTCATATCTTCCAGTCCAGTCAGATGAGCACGCCGTTTCCTCTTTTTCTGTAAAGCAACGCTGCTTGTATCCCATCCTGTGTGTTTGTCTTCACCCGAGGCAGATCTGCTCTTTGACTCAGGCCCAAAAGGGAAGTCTTAAATCTCCACAAAGCATCAGCGAGGGGCGACCTGGCTTTTATTTTTGCAGGGTTAAAGGAAAAAAAAAAAAAAGAATTACATTCAATGGGCCCATTTGTTCAACCTCGCCGCTTCCATTTGCTGCATTTATGTGAGGGTGCGCATGCATTCATGTATGTGGATGCCCATGCACTTGCACATAAGTGTACACACGAGAGTGGAGTTATTTTTAGAGATTTCATTAAGGGGCGCTTCTTCTCTACCGTCAGTCTAGACCTGGCTGTTTCTGCATGCTTGTGCGTGCGTGTTACGAGTAGGCAGAGTGGATTGGGAGGAAGAACCGTGAGCGTGCATGTAGGCGTCTGTCCATTGCTATTATAGGACAGGATTATTTCTGAAGGGCTCGTTGTGGTGATTCACTGTGCAAAAAGTAGAAAGAGCGAGTGCACTCACTGCAAGGTAAAACGCTGAGTTATGCCTCCTACTGCAGGCTGCTGCCCTCTGAGCTGATCAGAGAGCAGCTCCACGACAGACGGCATCACCGCAGCCACAGCGCTCCCATTTGTGATACAATGATAAAGCCTGGATTTCAGGGGAAAGGAAAATGGCTTTTAGCTAGCAGTAATAGTGACAACTGAATATCACAAATGATTAATTGACTCTCACATGGCAATCCTTTATGAATCTACCCTTATCTGGTTGTTTTCTATCTGCTCCTGTACATCATCCATAAGGCTGTGTCCTTTGGCGTGGTGGAGGTCAAACAGGTTCAGCCTAACCTTTAGTCTCTCCATTTTCACTCCCCAAGGGTTTCGCTAGATCCAAATATTGATTAGTATCAATTCCAAGGCTGGTATTGGTATCAGATCAATATTAACTCTCCAAAAGTAATCAATCAATATGGACGATACTTTTCTATCCTCTAAGTTCAGTATGTAGCCCCCTGGATTGTGTTAAATAATTCTTACATGAAATACAATAAAAGCTGAAAAGTGGAGTTTTTTGTGTGAACTCATTACTGTGGAAAGTAAAAATCACCATGATTTAGTAATCATTAAAATGTCTTCAAAATCAGCAAACTGATGACAATGATTCATCTTATAAATCAAGACACGCTGCTCTCTTCTTAAAGGTTAAAAGTTCTGGTATCAGTATTGGTATCTGGCCCTGTATTTACTTGCAGTAACAACATTTTAACACTTTTTTTCTGTTTGTTGTGGAGTTCAAAGTCTGCTTGAAAGTTTTCGCTTAGGCCTCAGCCGAATGTCACTAATCCTGGATGCACATGAACTCAGACCTTCTGGGTGCCACTTTAGAACCCCGGATCCGTTGTGTGTTTCTGGCTATTTTCTTAAATCCATAAAGCTTCCTAATCTTTCAGTGGATCGCTCTTTGTTTGTTTCCTACACCTCGGCTCACTGCTGCAAAGAAGCTTAAAAGCCTTTAAGTTTGCTCCTGCCAGATGGACCGCCGTTGGAGGGCGAATTCTGATAAAAGCCACAGGGATGCCGCGAATATTACGCCACATCGGGGAAACTTTTGT